GTCGTTGCCTACAGCAGGGTCCGCAAGGGGCGAAGGGGCCTTCCGAATCGTGCCTTCGGCGGTCCATGGCAGCTTGCGCTTACCCTTTGGGCGACCCATGTGCCCGGAGCGCGTGTGCGTCTTTCGTTGCGTGCGTAAAGGGTGTGTGTGTGTGTGTGTCCTCTGGTGTGTGTGTGGCGGGAAAAAATTCCCCGAGGGCGTGTGAAACCACCCGAAATATCTCCGAAACCCGAGTTTTTTTTTTAAAATCGGAAAAAAATCATCGGTGGGAAATCACGAGAGGAATCGATTGCAGCACTTTATTTTTGAATCGTACGGTTGGATTGTCCCCAAGAAGCTAAGCAAAATACCCTCCACTATCCATTTTTTTGCCCATAACTCCGTTATTTTTTGTCAAATCGGTGGCAAATCACGAGAGCTGTCCAAATCCGGTCTCAGATTTTGTGTCTGCAAAAAACACCGCCCTCCAGAAAGTAAGCAAGATTTCTTGAATATCTGAACGTATCGAGCGAAGGACGAAAAAAAAAAAAAAACTTCGTCCGTACGAAGATGCGCCTTGAAACGTTGATTTACGCGGTATTTTCAGATTTCGGAATAAGTACCCCCACCCCGAGAAAAGTGCACCTTTGTGCAGGGGAAAATATTGTGAATTTTTCCGGAAACGGACCATAGTAGATGGGAAAATAGCAGCGGCGACGAGGATTCGGAGAAGGAGGAGATGCAATTTGTCGGTCGAACGAGAGGTGCCGCCGCTGGTTCTGGTGCTGACAGCGGCGGCGGCGGCGGCAGCGGCAGCGGCAGTGCCACACCACCGGCTGCCGGTGCCCGGGATCCAACACGGGTTTCTACAGCTGGCTCAGCTTCTTCTAGCAGCACCAGTGCCTCTGCACTCCAACGTAGCGCTGGTGGCACCATTTCTGCAGCTGGTTCATCTTCGTTTAGCAGCAGTGCCTCTGCACGCCAACGTAACGCTGGTGGCACCACTTCCCCGGACACTTCAGAATCGATGCCGCAGGAAGTACAAAACGGTCTGAGGAGTTGGTTCCAAGAGGCGACAGACACGTCGGAGAAAAGAGCGCGCGCGAATAGAGAGAAGCAGGCCGCCGCAAAGCGGGCGAAGCGGGTGGAGGGGATCGCGAACATCCCTGCTGCGCCGGAGCGAGAGGAGAGGATCGAGAGGGACCGTGCGGTCGTCAGCCTGGCCAAACGGAGGGAGTCCAAGGCCAAGGCTGGGGCGGCGGCGGGCAAGAAGTTCAGCAGGCGGGGAGCTGTCTCCAAGAGAACCCCCAAGAAAGAAGTCCAGGTGTCAGTCCTTGAGCGGATCAAAAAGTACCCGAACGAAACCTTGTACAGGTCTCGCACTGGGACGCTGAAGTGCCGAGCGTGCTTCGGCAAGGAAATCAAGAATTTCAGTTACCGGGTGGACTCCCACATCGACGGGAAGAAGCACAAGGAAAGAGTGGCGATGACGCTGGAGACGGACGGCGAGGACCAGGTGAGCGTGTGTTCGTTGGTGGTGCAGTTTGGTATAGTGTAACACACCACTAGGCCACTGCGGTTTGCATTTGCTGCGTACCTGCCTTTGCAGGTGTTTGTTTTGCTCTGTCGCCGCGTCCCTGTCCTCGCGATTGTAGATTGTGCAATCCCACACGCCACAACCTACAACCTAACGATGGGACTGCTTTCGGTCATGCTGTACGTGTTCGTTTCGTCGCTACAGAATTTGCTCCACGTGTGTCTCAAGCGCTCCGAAGAGCAAGGAGGGACTTACGGAGACTCGCTGTCAGACAAGGACAAGCTCACACAGATCAAGGCGGTGAAGGGTTGTTTGGCGGCAGGTGTTCTGCTGAACGCGCTGGGCAACCCTGTGTTCGAGAAGTTCCTCGCGCACGTCAACGTGAACTTGCCAAGCTCCGGGCATCTGGCTGAGCACATACCTTTGATCCTAGAGGAGGAGGTGAGAACACTAAAGTTACCAATAAAAAAGAAAAGAGGGGCTGTGCCTGGTGTGTCTGTTTTCCAAGACGGTAGTGTGGACGAGTGCAAAATTCAAAATCTCACCGATAAACATAATACTCAGCACGTGTGTGTGTCCTGCTGTGCCGTATTCCGTTGAAATTTTCGGGAACAGCAGCCAAGATACGCGATGAGATGGGCGACCGACCTTACGCGTTGTGCTTCGATGCCACTCCCTACCTCTGCGAGTGCTTCGGGGTTGGGGTTCGATTCATCAACGCAAGTGAGCAGGTAATTAAAATGTTGCTGTTGCCGTTCGTCCTCAGTAGTTCTTTGTCGTGCCCGAGTCCGACGGTATCGATTTAGACGTGAAAGCAATAGCAATAGTTTGGCAGCCGCGAAACCACCCAGTTCCTGTGCCCCCTCTCCCGTCGCGTCTATGTTTCGACCTTATCTCGACAGGTGGCACAGCGTGTTCTGCGGTTGAGCATGCTGAAGAAGAGCATGACGGCGGACGACATTGCTGGTGAGGTCACCCGCATCGTCACCCATGAGTATGGCCTCGACCCGG